TAAAATTGGGGCATCCCATACATTTCATTTATAATTCAGCAAATATGTTTGTGATTTTTCAGAGAGTTCTTCGGTTCTTCATAGTTCTTCATGGTTCCTAAGGGAGACTGCCTTAGGAAACATCATCTAGAGGTTTGAATGCCACAGGCTAGATGTGTCTAGGCTGAAAGGTTTTCTCCTCTGCTCTTTCTGAAACTTGTTCTTCTATTAGACGATAGGAGGAGAGGCCACGCTAACGTGCTGCAGCGAACTGCGGAAGGTCCCCCCTCTTTCCAAGCAGCAGTCCATACTCTCAGTTGCCCCTTTCCAGTGGCCTGTGGCAACAACACTGGTTGCTGCCTTCAGTGAAGCAGCATTCAAGTGTGTGGTTTCCACTGCCACCCGTGGGCATGCAGGTGATCCCAGAGGTCGGGTGTGCTTTGTGTGCTTCACGCTCTGTGTATGTAGTAAGTGGACATGAATTTTTACGGAAACTGTCACAAGAAGAGACTCTTTCAGCGTCTGGCCTGAAGGTTTCCTCTGCCTCCTGTAGAAGATGCCTCTCTCCTTCAGTGATGACCTGGCCAAGTCATATGCTATGACAGAAATCCCCCACAAAAAACATCTGACTAGATTTTTTAGGCATCCGGCTCAAGTCATTAAAGAAAAATGTGAGAAGCAGAGGGAGGAAGATAGTAATTATGTAGTAGCTTTTAATTTACATTTACTGCTGGGGGGGTAAGGCAGGTGGAAGAGGCAGCATTAAAAAGTCTGCTACTACAAAAATTGCCAAAGTAGGATTAGGGTACCTGGGGGGCGTCGTAGCACCAGTGGGAATTAAAGCAGAGTCACAGATCCAGAGAGGCAGCTAGCTGTGGGGTTACTACTTGGAGAATGCAAACTTCAGCCACTGTTGCATGTCTTTGGGTATATTCTAGGTTTTTTAGACCCTGCTAGGGGGCTGGTAGGCCCAGTTAGACACTTACCCCTCCAAAAATGACAATGTCTGTGCCAGGAAGATCTCCCTGGTCTCTGACTTTCCTGAACAACTTTCCCAACTGATAAATTGTAAAAGCAGCTTTTCTTTTCTCTCTTATATAGTGGTTTATTAAGATTGCTTGTTGAGGAAATTCTGATTCTTTTGTTTCATAACTTTTGACTATTTACTTGCAACTCTGACATTCTTTCACGGTAGGTTTTTGTACATGATTTGTATTGACAGCCAGAGAGAACAGGGCATGGGAGGAAAGGCGAGTGTCTGCATTTGCATTGGCTCTGAAAGATGCAGATGAGAAGCTGAACAGCAGGAGAGAGGTCAGTGGAGAAGAGAGATTTGTGAGTCAGTGAAGCTGTGCAAGGGAATGAGGTCAGTCTGGAATAAGGTTAAGAGGGTAAAAGAGGAGGATTTTAAGGGTAAGCCTTGAGTGACACGAAGAAAATGTGGTGAGGAATGGCAAAGGAGGAAGGTACTCTGAATGAGTTGTCATAGAAAACTCAGGATCATACGAGACTGCAGAAAGGAGGGGAAGATACAGCTGTAAAAATGCGTTTTGTAACAAAAGATGCAAGAGCGCCTGTTGCCATTGAGGAAGTCCACTCATATATTGAAGTGGGGAGATAAATGTATTGCAATGAGGAAAAAAAAGAAAGGAGGTGGGTTAGTGCTAGCAAACTATCGAAGATTTTTTTTTTCTTGATTACATTTAATAAGTGTTATACTGACCCTAAAGGCTTACTAATTATATCGTACCTTTCCATGAGGAGACATTTGATGCAATGGCTTTTTAGACCCACTTATCTTCTTATCTATTTCTAACGCTACTTACACTTTCTTAACTTCTAAAGCATTTGTAGTGTAGGCATGTACACAAAACAGTTTGTTAGGAAAAGGGTTGTACACTTAGGTTTTCCAGAAGTGGAAATGAGGCTAGGTAGCCCAAAACATTGAATTCCAGTTCTTGAAATTTGACATAGGTAACTGTTAGTCACCATAGGTGACTATGATAAAGGAACATAATGTAGAAGCTGTTCTAATGGTCTGCAGTGAAACAAGCCATCTTCAGTATGTATTCACACTCGAGACAGGTATGATACGAGTGGGGTTTGTGTATAGCACGTTTGGAGCCAAGGGAAATAATCATGTGCTTTAGATAGTGTTTTATCTATGTTCATATATGTCTCTCTATGGAAAAATAAAAATAACCATCTATTTAAGTTTTGATCTGAATTGTGCATAATACACTATGGAATATAAACAAAAGATAAGTGGGGTAGAGTGTGTGTGGGTGGGCAATGGTGCAGATTTGAGAGGTGCCTGTTACATGTGTGGTTTGTTCTTGTCCTGTTTGATGGAACTTGGGGACAGTCTGAAGTGCGGGCCACTGGCATGGTAGATATGAGGAGGCTGACAAATAAAGTTTAATCTAGGCTGAGGTTATGCAGTATCCGAAGGGCGGCAGGAGTACATCAGTAGGTGGATGAATAAAATGGAAGCAGTGGAAAGTTCTGTAACATCTGAAGGGCACCAAGAGGAAATTTAAATTTTCTTTAATTATGCTTTTCTTCACAAATTCTTAATGCAGTGTGCAGTGTGTTGTTTTTACAAACACTTAACAGCTGTAGCAGTGCCAAGTTCTATCAGATGTGAGTTTACTGTGGAGGAGGCAGAGTGATGTAGGTTCTCAGTGGTACCTAACTTGTGTGTTGCACCCATGATCTCTTATCACAAGGTTGAGTAGTTTTAGTGGGACTGTGCAGCTCCCCCCATTCCTCTCCTCTGCATCTTTATCTCTGTATTCTTCCATTCCTGGTCTGTAGTTGCTAATATGATTTTTCTGTAGATTATGTTTGATTTTAGCTTTTAAATCAAACTATAAAATAATGGGTCCTTACAAGAGATGGAAGGAAATAACCAAGGACTTGCTTGGCTGGTTAGTATTAGCAGTTAGTAGACCATAAAGTTTTTAAGTGGAAATGCCTGTATGTTAGAAAGTGTGTTGTAAGTTAGGGAGGAACAGTGTTTCTCAAAGCTGGTGTCTTTTGGATTTAGTGTGAGAATAATGTTGGTTACACACTGATGTTTTAGTTGTTGCTAAGTAGTGCTTACCCTAAGTCAAGGATTTTTCAGTTTCCCATGCTCTGCCAGCGAGCAGGTGTACAAGAAGCTGGGAGGGAGCATAGCCAGGACAGCTGACCTGAACTAGCCAAAGGGATATTCCATACCATAGAACATCATGCTGAGTATATAAACTGGGGGGAGTTGGCCAGGAGGGGTGGATCACTGCTTGGGCATTGGTCAGCGGGTGGTGAGCAATTGTATTGTGCATCACTTGTCTTTTCTTGGGTTTTATTTCTCTCTCTCTTTTTTTTTTTTTTACATTTTAAAAAATTTTTATTGTTATTATTATTGTATTTTATTTTACTTTAGTTAGTAAACCATTCTTATCTCAACCCATGAGTTTTACTACTTTTATTTCTATTCTCTTCCCCATCCCACTGGGAGTGGAAAGGAGTGAGTGAGCGGCTGCATGGTGCTTGGTTGCTGGCTGGGGTAAACCACATCAGCTGGTTAGAATTGATGAGTTCTCTGCTCTGTAGTATATTTGTGGCCTGACTTCAACCTGACTGTGGAGGAGACTTCGTGATGTTTTGAAGGACGGTAGGACAGTGCCCTTGTTTGTAGATTTGCAACCTATATAGCAGTGAACAGTAATAGGAATTAGTAATAGCTGTATGACCACACACATAGTTTCTTCATTATTGCATACATGCTTAATGGTTTCTTGCACTGGCTGTTAACACAGCTACTTTGTAAGCAGTATGAGCATTACAGGCTGCAGGCTTGGGTGGCAGTCCACAGATAAACTTCATTCTTGTACGTACTGACAAAGCACATGCCCTGAAATGGCCACCTTTAGGTGTAGCTAGAAAGGGGATGGAAGAAATGACAAAAACATATAAAAAGGATACATATGCATAAAAAAAATGAAAGGCAATGCTGGGAGACAGAGAAGAAAATGGGGAGGGGGCTGCAGTGATGCAAGGTATACAGCAAAGCATACCTATGACTGAGGTTCAGCATGGGAAGGAGCAAAATTCCTCTCCACTGCCTGAATGCTCAGGTTGCTCAAATGAATTTAAGTAACACGGTAATCTTCAATATTACTAAAACAGCCAGAAAATGATCCTTGGTTATGGCTTCACATTCATTATTTACATTCTCAGGTTAATTTTGATAAGTGATAGTCCTGAGTAACACCGTTAATATAGAGACAGTAATAAAATTTGCTTCTGAATTTTTACATTCATTCTGATGTTGAATGTTCTAATACAGAGTTCAAGATGCAGTAAGTATGTAAGGAATGCATTGTTTTTACCTCTGACCTAGTGTAGCAATATCCTGCAATAACCTATCATGGGCTTTTTGTTGGAGTGGGTCTGATGTAGATTACACTCCCTAGAAATATTATGCAGAGGTTTTCAAAACATTCTATTTTAATGTTACTGAAGTATCCAAGAGTTTCACAACATCTAATTGCATGGAACATCTTGGCTCAAAACTCATCTAAACATAACTTTATAGGCAGGGTTATAATGTCATCTGGGGAAAAAAAATGGGTTCCTTTTTAACCCATTCATAGCAATTTCATGGGTTTTTTTGTCACCTCATGAAAATGGTAAGCAGACATTTGTTAAAGGATTGAGGGGTTTTGTTCCCATACCATATTTCTAATTCTTGTTTCTGGGTCTTGCCTCTTTAGTATGCTCCTCAAGGTTTTTTCATGCAGTGATTATGAACTGGAACATGGAATATTTTTCTTCTCCTGATGTTTTTCTGCAACTGCCAGAGCCTATTTTTTTGTCCTAGGAACATCTCATTCAAACTGTTGTTGTGGTTACTCCATCTACTGTACATGCAGAAGCTCCTCCCCTGGATATAGAGCCTTTGCAATAACACTTACTATACATAGATTGTGGATGCTTGAATTATTCTGACTGTATTCATTATTCTCAGAAAACTGAAGCCCTAAAGAACATGCTGCACTTTGGCGACAGGAATGAAGAACTACAAGGACTCCTAAAATTGGTTATGCTCTTAAAGTTCTCATGAAACCGTATCCTGAGCATTGTTCCCAAGACATCCCTGCCCTGACTGAGGTCATGATTATATGTTACTGTCTGTAAATGGCAGCTCTGACTTAAAAGCTGCCCGTCCTCCACCTTGCCTTGCTGGTCTTTTTTCCATCTTGTTAGTCCATAGGTCTGCTGGTTAACTGTTTGGCTTCACTGTAGCTGGATCTCCGTAATTAATCTGGTTTAAAACGTAGTTTCTTTTAAAGCTGAATCATTTCACAAGTCTGATAGAGAAAGCATCCACAAAATAGTTGAGTTGGGAAAATGGAGGGAATAGTAAGCTTTTAGATCTGATCTGATCTGCTGGTAGTGAGGATGGCCTGAGATTCAGGCGTTACATCACCCAGTTTACTGCATACTGACACCAGCAGGAATAAAAACGCTTAAGTAGGGTGCTTCTCCAAGTTGGTCTAACACATGGACTTCTCTGTGTGTTTTATCTTTCTCATTTTAAAAATTGGCTTTCCTTGACTTAACAAGCTAACACTGAATATTAACTGCAGTCAACTACTTTTGTCAAAAGTTTAAGTCTAATATATGTTTGCTGCATTTTGTTCTCAGTTTCATGCAGAGCGTGTTGCTTTCATGTGATAAACATATTTTCCTAATTTCCTAAATTTTCCAAATTTAATTAGGAAATTTGAGTCCTCTTTTGTGCTAATCAGTAATGCATTCTGTCATTTCCAATTAAATGTGCTTTGCCTTACAGTTTTTACTTTATTTTATAATTAAGAAAATCTCACCATTATATTCTTATATATTCTTTGGACAGAAGGAGCATTTATCTTGGTCTTTAAGAATGTATTTTATTTACTTCTTTACATTAAAACTTTCTCCACCCCAACTTTCCCTCTCATAGCAAGATTTCTGCTTTAAACTAGTACTAAGCTTGGATGTGTAATTTTCTTGGATTTTAAATGATTACAGTTGTTGATGCTAGAGAGACTGCTTGCTTGTCTGAAACCGTATAGGAGGACTTGAAAATGTTCATAAAAATAAATCCACAATGATTGACATCCTAATTTTAGTGGTAGTACCTTATGTGTTTTAAATTTCTTATCACTATTAGTCATTTAAAATTGTGTTATCAAACAGAAAAATGTTATCAAATTTGATTCAGAGATATGCAGTTCCAATATATAATAATTTTAAAAGTTTCTTGAGTTGAAAATAGTTGCCACCTCTGTATCTCCTCAAGTTTACTTTTCAATTTATTGGAGTTTTAGAAACATGTTTTATTGTTCTTTCACACACTAGGTGAAATAGGTTTATTGCATTTTTCTCCAAAGTACTTTTTTTCCCCCAGTGATTTGTTAAACAATCTACATGCAAGGGAAATTCTCCTGGGAGTAAACAGAGAACAAGATGGAACTCGGGTATAGTGAATGCTGGAAAAAAAAAAATTTCTTTACTTAAATAGTAGGGGGTTTTGTAATGGTAGTGTTGCTAGTAAGTGTTAATTAAAAAGCATTAATTCTTGCCATAATCAGTCACGTAAACAGCACTCAGTATGCTGGTGTTGCAGGCCTTTAAATTAATGAAATGGGAAAGGAAAAGTTTATTATAACTTAACTCTATCTTGGACATAAACTAGCCAGATGTAAACCTGCTACTTTTCTCTGACATTTTGACACACAAAGTCCTATTTGATTCTGTTATCCTTGACTGTTTCTTTTGCTTTGTATTGTTTCAGGTCATTACCTGTAAACTTGAAATTTAGTAACCAAAAGTAGAATTTGCTCTGAAAACTTGATGCTGTTAAGGATGGAAGAAACCACATCCTACTTACCTCTTAGGCTTTGTACACAAAAGTAGCCTACTGCTGATGCTGAGGAAAATGCAGAAAACATTCAGTAGACAGACTTATTCCTGCTGTTCCTTTTAAAAAAAAAAAAAAAAAAGATAAAAGAAAAAAAGATAATGAAAAGGGTAGAAGTGTATCTCTAGTTATTTCACTTAAGCATCCATCCATACAAAATCCTATGTTAACTAGAAAGTGTCCTTAGATCTTTATAGTAAAACAGTTTTTCTTTTAAAATTGGCAGTTTGCCCTAAATTTGATGTGTTGACTTCATGTGTTATGAATACCTGATGCTCCTTTTCACTCCTTCTGGTTTGCCCATTCTTAGTATTTCTGTAACAATTGAAAGGGCTGAGTGAGTTGCTTTTCCCTGCAGGTGGTTGCTCCATTCTTTAAATTATTGATCTCTTTTGAGTGTTACTTGTGGATTAATGATAATATTTAAGTACTTAGGGTTTGTTTTGATAAAACGCTGAGCACTCTAAACTCAGTTCAGCGGAACACTTAAATATATGACTAGTTCCATTGAAGTACAATGCTTAAGTGTTTTTATGTGATGGGGTTACGTGAGACCTTAGAATAGTAAGCCTTATGATGCTTATCATATTTAGATTTCAACACATCGGCAGTTCTGAATTCCTTTGCTTGCACAGTACTTCAGAAATACTTTATGCGGAAGCAAGATGGGAGAGCCTGAGCTGTCTTTCTATTAGCTTACCCTTGTTTTTCTGTTACAGTGCAAGATTCTCTTAATTTGAGGCTAGCTCAAATTGATGGATGTTCGTAACTGCCATACCAGGTGGATGACCCTGAAAATCACGATGCCATTCCTCTTGGTGCTGGGCAGAAACAGTACAACAAATTCCCTGCATTAATTTGATTTTATTTTCTTCCTTATAAATACCTGGAATTAATTCTGAGAGTCAGGAGAGGAGAGGGTTAGGGTTTTTGAAAGATCAGCTTGATTCTAATAAGTTTTAAGGGTAAAGGGTAAAGCTTGAAATGGTTCACCAGTGAGTTCACTCAGTGTTTCAGCATTTTAAGTTTTTGAGCTTGTTCCGTAGCTAAAACGTTGGTAGTTTGCCACATTGTCTTCACAAATTCAATTAAAAATCTTAAATATGTTCATTTGCGGAGAGCAAGACAGAAACAGATATGCAGCTCTGTTGCTCGTGCAGAGCAACGGTTACATTCCAGTAATCCTTTGCTTGTGAATTGTGTAATTGTTGTATACCCTGAGCTCTGGCTCCCCTACTGATGTCATTTTTAAGGCCAAATAATCTTCATGACAGGGAACATGCATGTTTCAGCACCTGTTTCTTGGTCCGTATTGGGAGTTTTGGTTACCTTACTAACTTCAAAATTCTTAGTGGAAAGCCAACTTTTATATTTCAGTATTGTAGAAAGATCTCTGCATGTCCTGTCTTGGTGGGTCAGCAATTTTTGACAAATCATCATGCAGCAAATGGTGTTGCTTTCATTTATTCTGATTTAGTGGAGTTCTGTTGCTTACGGGTTTTTTGTTTTGCTTTTTGGCCACACAGGCTTTGCATAGATTATTACAGTTAGATCTACAATGGTGGTGCACGTGGGAAAATAACCTCTGTTGAATGATTTTCACCTTAATACCTCTTGTAAGCCATGCATTCATATAACTGTCATGTGAGTAAGTAAATTGTCAGCTTGAAAAGTGAGAGTGAGCTCCATGTACATTTTTATCTCCTAGATAGAGTTATAAGCAACTTCTGCTGAACACTTGTTGAACATCTTTATACGGTAGAGCGTCATTTTTTAAATCCACATTATAAGCCAGAAATTAGATAGATTATTCAGCTGTTTGAGTGCATACCTCAGTGCTACAATAGATGTTTTCAATTCTTCTGTATTATCTAAGCTTTCATGAGCTTTTTGTGGAGTATGTCAAATTTGTAGCTGACTACAGATCCATCAGTTGTCTTGGATGTAATCAATTCTCACCAAGCTAAACAGGATTCATTTAGCTGACAGAATGGTAGTATCCAAGTTACCTATTTGCCATCTTCTTCATCCAATTTGACGTAATTAGTGGAGGTGGATGGGTGGGTCAGGTTTGCTATACCTCTGCCTCTACTTGATTCCCAGTTCCTTTGAAAGTTACCCTCGGGCAATTTAAGCTGTGCTGTGACAGCAAGTTCTTGATTCAAATTAACATTCAGGCAGCTAAGGAAAAGCGGTGTTATCCTTAGTTACATTTTACATGATATTCAATTATTCTTTATTCCTTACATGTCTAAACATAGTAATTATTATTTATTTTTAAATAATTATTTTATTTATTTATTTTTATCCTTATGCTGGGACCCAGGGAAACAGGACACGTGCTCCAACCAGCCAATGTGTTAGGTCCTGGCTGGTGGGTTGGCCCCTGCACATAGCCGTTGCAGCTCCATGTTGTCAGATGTCTGTGCCTGTGTCCCTTTTTTTTTTTTTTCATTATTTATTACTGTATTTGGTTATCAGCGTAGGCTGCTGATGATCTTACTAATCTTCTAGCCGCACACTAATCACCTCGACTTTCTCCATATCTAAGGCCATCCAGTGCATGTCTCTGGGGCTTTCCCTTACCTTCTGGTCTCCTGCCCCAGACATGTTACTAGAAGTGTGGAGGTCTGTAGGCAGAGGGAGTGACTTCTTTGAACACCCAGCAGGTCAGCTGGCCTCTGATTTTTCCAGCTTCCAGTACTCCAGACTTTTTCATGTGGCTGTGAATAAGTGTAACTGACGCAAAATAGGAGATGCAAGGAAGCATGCTATGGCATGCTCTGCCCTACTGACTGTTGCTTATTTTAGCATGGATGTGCACACTGGTTTATGTTACTGCATGGCCACAAACGAATATACAGGTTAAATACTACTAGTTACATGCCTTGGTAATTTGGCACATAACGTCCATGTGTACAATCAGTATAAAAATGATAGAAATTTGGGCTGTCAGTTGCCAGATTTATTTCACGCTTTTTGATTCGGCAAGCAGCTAAGCCCAATGGATTTCTTAATGCCTCAAAATACAGTTCCACTGTTGAGTTTTCTTTTTGTAAAAAGAAAGATGGAAACAGAGTGTTTGGGAAGTGGTGGGTGATGAAAGCAGAATGGGGGTCTGCCTCTTTTGACGGTGGGTAGCTCACTTACAAAGTGAAACTAGTGGAAATCTTTAGTTTTCTTTCATATCTTATCTCCAGTGCTGGTGAGTACAGTGTCTTGAAAGGTCCATTGCTTCTTTTTTGACGTTACATAGCTCTTTTAACTTTATATCACAGAAATAAAAATGATAGGCCATGTAAGCAATTGACATTCTTGTGTGCATTTAGAAGACACGTTTAGGACGGATGTACAAAAGAAATTATACAGTCACACTCTACTCTTCCAAAACTATCAGAGAAATTATTCAAATAGATTAAATAGTTGATTGTTCTCCACATGTGGAAAACATCTAGCAATGTGGTAAATAATTTTTGGAAGGAGGGGGTGAAAACCAAAGGATTAAGTCTTGAATATAAGTAACTAAATATTTTCTTTCTAAAATAACTTTTCTGGAAAGTGATCACTGTTTTGACAGAAAGCCTTCTCCACTTTCTCTTTTAGTTCAGCAAGTACAGAATGACTGAATTGCAAACATAGTTTTTAAGTGTTTCAGCTTGCTGACTTCATCAGGCTATGTGTATGTGATGTCTCTTCTGAATGAAAATCTCAGTATTTATAAACAGTACTGATAACTAACAAAAGAAAGAGTGGGCATCTATGTTATAACTTTCTTATTCCGATACAATTTTCTAAATATTTTTAATGAGTATCCAGGTGTCTCCCTAAGACTGGGAAATAAAATTCTGGGACTGTGAACTGTAGATTTCATTTGTATTTCATTGTGGTCATATCTCCGCACTGTCTTCATGTTGACATGTTGCAGCTTTTCTGTAAAAAAAAAAACAACACTTTAAAGAAGTTCCTTTGCTGAATCAGTGGTTTTGCCAAGAAGAAACATTTCCTATAGTTTTGGTTTGAGGGAAATAGTGATTCGGTTTTGTGCTTCTGACCTAGGAGTTATGAATGAAAATGCCTAGTTAAGCATGTAACTAGCAGAAAGTTTGTCTCAGGAGGGTGGTGACATAGCTATTGTTTAATAATTTACCAGAGTGATTCATAACATTGGACACAATTAGTGATTTAAACTCAGATTTCACAGTTATTTGCTGGTGAAACTGCTTTTGGCTGGTGCCAGCTTTAACCTCTTAAAAATCTTCCTTTTAAATAAAAGCATAGATTAATGTGGAAGCAAAATACTTGGATGCCCATTCCTGTAAGATGCTGAGCGCCTTCATTTCTTAGGTTGCATGAGGACATGGCAAGGAATGACATGCAACCATCCTTTCCCAGTCCCTCAATACACCATTATAATGATTCCCACAGTCTGGTGGTTTAGGAAGCTTATTTACAGAACAGCCACACATCAGTGCGTTTCTCAGAGGAGTAAATATTACTGAATAGCAGTGGGCATGGGTGATTGGATGATTAATCCTTTTTGATCAAGTATGGTTTAGGGTTTTTTTTCTTTATATCCCCTAACATGTTTATATGAAGCCGAACAGTGCTGCTTGTGATTGCATTGTGCATCCCCAGAAAACCTTTTATGTTGTATCATAAACTTAAGTAGTTATGCAGCTAAAGTAGCTCAATCTCTTAAAAAGCAGGGGAGAGAAGGTCCTTTGGGTAAAGAACTTGGGGGGGCTAGATCTGTAATTTGTTATCAATGTGTTGTGTACACCCTGAAAAATTGGACATTAGTATACTTATGGTCTTTTAACATTAATTGTTGTACAATTAGTATTTGCAGTGTTCAGTCTTGAAAATACTATAACTAACTGGAAAGCAGTTCAGTGTAGGAAAAAAGTGCTAAAGTTGATTGTGAATTTGGTGACCTTATCCTCTTCCCTGTGAGGAATGGTCTGGGGTCCTACAGTAGCACAGATAGTCTGAGCCACTTCAAAAACAGGTGAGAGAGGGAAAAATAGGATTCCGTCTTAAAAACAAAGGATAAATTAACACCCAGGAAGAGCTGTACCCAACTGCTGTGTCTTTTGAAGCACTGTCAGTGAGGCAACGCTGCTAGCTGAGTCATTCCCCCTGCTCTCATGGTCAAGCTAGTTCTACCAAGATAGTAACTGACAGCTGGAAAAGCAGCTTCTGTTGGGGGAATTGAAATTCTGTTTTGTTTTCCTCTGGGACTTTGCTTCTAAGTTGGTAATGAAGGCCCTGGTTTTTTGCTTTGCTAGAATAAGCCTTCGTATTTTTCACTTTTTAAATTTATCTAGTATATGAATCATTTCAAGTTAGGCTGGCAAGTGCATGGTTTATTGCTTTTTTTGGAAATAGTAGGTTCATGCAGGGTAATGTGCGTGCAGGCAGACTTCCAAGGGAACTTGAGAGGAGTGTAGAAACCCCAATGACTGTGCCAGGCTTGTCGGGTCGGCGTGAGGGCTGATGTCTCCAGGTTCTTAGAAGAAGCCTGCTCTGACGGAGATAGAACAGTACACTCTGATAAGGAACACACAGCGGACAAACAGCGTGCTGTTTGAAGAACACCCCTGATTATGACACCACTTTATAGAATTCAGGAGAAAGTGAATTCCCTCCCACTGCACACTCCTGTCCTGCATGGTGTGTAATTGGGGTTCTTTTATGAAAAGCAGCAAAAGAAATGTCTTCAGAGCATCAAATGGTGCAAAAAATTACCATCTTGCTCAAGAAATTTTTATTCTCTATTGCTGTTGTAGGTTAGGATGGTTATTCAGCTGGCTTCCTGCTTGGTGTCCCACATCACTGCTACACCTTAAAGAGGCTGAGGACAAAATGCTAAAATGTAAGTCTTTGTTTTTTAATAAGATTCATAGATACCACTAGATTTTATATAAATTTACATTAAATATAATCAGAGAAGTTTTTAAATATGGCTTTTACACTATAATTAAATAAACAGGTTTATATTTAGATTTTCATTGTTCCCTTATTTAAATATTTGATTGTAGGCTCTCCCCTTTGAAAGGGAGCTCCTATTTAAAACAGCGGGTTTTGTAGAATATACTTCATATTTTATCAGGCACATCTAGCAACATAATTTTTTCCCACTCTTTCTTCAGGTATTGCAAGTACATACAATAAACGATATGTGTATATATCTAATGGAAATAAAATATGGACACTGACATTCTCTCCGGACCTTTCACATAAAACTCCACTTGTTCTCCTGCATGGGTTTGGAGGAGGTGTTGGACTGTGGGCTCTCAATTTTGAAGATCTCTGTGAGAACAGGCCTGTTCATGCTGTGGACCTCTTGGGATTTGGACGTAGCAGTAGACCACACTTTGACACTGATGCTCAGGAAGCAGAAAACCAGTTTGTGGAATCCATAGAAGAATGGAGAAAGGAGGTGGGGTTAGAAAAAATGATTTTACTTGGACACAACCTAGGTGGATTCCTGGCTGCTGCTTACTCATTAAAATACCCATCAAGGTATGTGAAAATAAAGGAATGAAGGAATTCCTTTTCTGTATTTGACTAGTGATTTTAACACAGATTTTATTTCATCAGTCTCTTTACAGATTATCTTTAAGTAAATGACTGTGCTGATTTAAAGAAACTTGATACTGAATTTTAAGCCCGAAGTATTAATTGTATGGTTTGTTTCCAGATTAATAGAAATAAGTAGATATGGTAAACATGCATTTCTGTGTACATTTCTGTACCTCTTTTTTTGTTCAGTATCCCCTTGCCAAGTTATAAGGCAAAACAACAAGATTGTATTTATGTATGGATGATTTGTGACATCTCTGATCAAACACAGGTTTGTGAAGGGAAAATAAGCCTGTTTCTGCCAAACTTCCCATTATTATGGATAACATTGAAACTTCTGAACGTAATTCCCCTAAGTTATTTACGGCTATATGCTAGAAGTCGGCCTGGTGCCAGCATGATGATGTAAAAATTATTTTAGTGACTGATTTAAATTGTCTGTATGCCACTTCATACTTCTTCTTTGAAAAACAACCCAGCTGCAGCAGTCTTGTAATTGTATTTCATCAGCATTTTCTGCACTCCATTGTGCCAACAGCTAATCTTTTTTTTTTTTCACTTAAACTAATAATTTGTCTCTTTTTTTTATATAGTCTGGTTATATAGCCCCTGGTGAGCTAGGATCCCACCAGCTGAAGTCATTCTGTATCAAAAAAAGACATTGCCTTTGTTTAGATACACATAGTGGACTCCTGCGAAAAACTGTGGATAAAAGTTTAGCTTTCCACATAGTATGGCAGATTCTATATTATACAAAACGTATCTTATTCTTTTATATTCACATCAGTTTATACCATATACATTCCTTTGTCTCTCATTTGGAGATTTTGAAATAAATTCATACCTCATTTTTTGCTAAAACACTTTGCGTCTTTCCAAGTGGACCACACCTGGCACATGCAGCTGGAAATGATGTGTGAAAGTAGGCGGGTGTCTAAATCCGGAGTTGCAGTGAAGAAATGCAGTCCTCTGCTCTAGGGACGTAAACCTGTTATCCTTTTGGGCATAAACCAACTTCTAGCTAACTGTAGTTAGATCACTTACAAGTTCCTTACCCCTTTTTCTGACGTATCTATAAATGGGGCTATCCCAGCCCTGTGGGATGGAGTATTGTTTCTGCCCCCTGCTGTCTTACACTGAGAATGACACTTTGTTGTCATGCCTCTCTTTGCTTAGGTTGGGGTTAATTAATTTGGGGGTGTTTCAGTTTGTGCTCTCACATTACTAATGTTTCTCTGAAATTAAACTAAAACCATCAAATTAGCAAATTGACTGGTGGGCTTTTAAGACAGCATTGAATCAAGTGATAAATATAGCACAGCTTTCAGCCAGGTTATCTAACAATGCATTAGAGGCTTAAGGGATTCTGGATACATATTGTTAGGAAAGTAGAGCTGTTTCTCCAAGCTTAGATGATCTGTTAACTTACTACATTGTACCAAAGTTGTTCATGGGACATCTGAGGTTACTAATCCAAAAAGGTTCCTATTTAGAATATTCCCGGGTGGTGGTGGGTCATGATTTTCAAATACTACAACTTCTGAACTATTGCTTTTGGAATGATTCTCATGGTCAACTTCCCATTATCCTGGGTTATGTTTTAGGCTTGATTACCAAAAGGAGAAATGCCAAATAGGAAGGAAGCTATTAAGAAAGGAAACACGAAAGAAAGCTTACTTTATTTTTATTCATGTGTTTGCTGGTTTATGTTTAATGCCATAGTTTCTGCACAGAACGTGTGGCTGTCCTGAATGGCTCCTCATTGTTTGTGCTCCTTAGCCTCTAATCTCTCCTGCTTGGTTTGTATAGTTAAATTCTACCCTGTCCTCTCTTACCATTGGTGTTTGTGCTGTGTGCAGACATGCTCGTGACTGAGCTGACAGCCAAGAAACATCTTTGTGAGGTTAATCCTTTTCAACCCCTCATTTCAAGCACAGATTTTCGGTTTCCCAACTGATCATAGTCCAGAAATAGCCTTTGGAATCACTTCTGACATTGTTTTAGGCACCAAGAACTCTTCTGTATTAAGTATCAAATCTTGTGGCTTTGAAAGAGAGGGAAGTTATGAAGAATGAAGTAAAGATGATGAAGCTTGCATGGAAAATTGCCTTAAATATGCAAAACTTTCGTTAAGAGTCACTTTTTCAGAAATCAGCAGTATCTAGGACAGTTAGAGTAGGTGTTATTATGGGATTAAACAGAAATGGGCTATTCCAATCTACCAAGATTAAATAGATTTTTTTGCCTGGGGGGGACTGACAGCCTGAAGTGATTCATAGTTGGAGACTCCTACTATGCTCTCTGTACTGAGATTCCTTTGAGTAATAATGTTATAAATTGTCTCTCTGATGTTTCTTTCATGACCTAAAATCAATAAATTTAGAAAACATCTGCTAATTTTACTCTGCCTCTCTCAGTTCACATTTTACTTTGATAAGATGATTTTTCAGATACACTGCATCTCTTCTTTGAACAGAGGTCTTAGATGGCTTGGAAAAGAAAGATTTTTAGGAAGTTTACTTAAATAAAACAGATGCAATTATCTTCTTTTCTCGCAGTTAAACTGCTTCTGCAAATAATATTGACTGAGCATGTAGCTTAGGCTATTTTTAAAAAGAGAAACAAAACTGGCCTGTTTCTCAAATGTGTATGACAGTGGGTATCTATTGAATACGGAGTTTCTCTTTGGGACATGAGCTTCCAAGTTTCTGGTGTTCATACATGTGATGAGTTACAATTCAATCTCTCTCTAATAGCTATCGAAAGCAAAACCATTGATGAATCAGAAACTAGGTAATAAGCCACTATGATAGAAGTGACTAAAACAGGTTGCATAGTCCACAGATAGCACATTTCCATCATACTCAGCTGAAGAAAAATTAATGTACTCTAAACCTCTGAACCTTTTTTGCCAACAGGGTCAAACATCTTATCTTAGTGGAGCCATGGGGTTTTCCAGAGAGGCCTGACAATGCTGAACACGAGAGACCAATTCCGATCTGGATCAAAGCACTAGGAGCTATATTGAGTCCATTTAATCCATTAGCTGGGCTGAGGATAGCAGGACCCTTTGGTGAGTTTTAGCTACTCTTAAATACCGTTTCTGTTTTCGTTAAACATAAACATGGGACAGATATCACATTAAGATAAGCTTTGTTGCAAGCCCATATCACCCGCAGAGAAAAGAGTTGGAGGAAAAAGTGGAAGGGGGTTGAAGAAAGATGAACTCTTTAGGACAAGATGGCAAGCTCTTTCTATGAGAAATACTAGTACGATAGTTTATAGCCAGCTACGTTATGTTATTGTAGGCTACAGTTACAATGAGTCAGATTACGTGGACATCTGTTGGGGAAGCCTGACAAAGAGGCATGAATGTGAAGAGGGTTTTTTTCTGGTTGCCTCTGGTCACAGTCCATTTAGTTTCCCTTCCATCTGCAGTTTGATGGACAAACAGGATTTCCAAATTTGGTTAACATTAGAAGGCAGTCTCTCATAAACTCATTGGGCTTTGGCCTAAGTTTAGAAACGTTAAATTAAAACTGGGTTCTTTCCATTAGCCATTTTCTTATTACTCTAGCAAATTTTGTGGGTCTCATTGGTGTCCTGCGTTACAGTGGCAGTCTATCCTTCCCATTTCTACGTTTCTTCAAAAGCACTGATGAGATGTTAGATAAACTCATTATATCCTAATTCTAGGACTAGGTAGGGGTGACTATTTTGGATTACCAAAAATACTACAGTTTTAGTTTCTGTGGGGAGAAGGGTGTGATCAAATCTTAAAGTCATTGTTTGTATTCCTTCCATAGGGGAAGGAGGTTATCTGTTTGTTACTCTCTGTACTACAGGAGTATCAGCTGGAGAGGCTTGAAAAAAGATATCCTTCAGGCCCCTCACAAGTTACAATTAACTTACCTCTTCATTATTTTTAGTATTCAGTCTGAAGATAAACTAGTGACATTTCTAGGCTTTGTTTACATTTAAACCACATCTGTTTCCTAAATCTCATTTTAGAATATTTATTTTAATATGCTGATCTATTTGATTGTTTTCAGGAGTGTGACAAAATTAGTTTTTCAGACAAGCAACATGTTTTGTACAGGTTTTTTTTTTTTTAAAGTAAAATGCTAATTCGGTTAACAAAACAACCTGAAGCATATTGAGAGATAAACACTGATTTAATGCCTTTTATCCAATAAGAAATGCATGCATAAATCAATCCATGTGGAAGAGTTCAAAGCTGAAGTTGTCTCCCTTAGCAAGTAAGTGCAGTCAAAACCATGCTGCAGAAACAGACCCTGTCTTGGCAAGGTATCCCCAACCTAACCTCGCTTGTAGGTTGCTGTGGAGGGCAGTGCTTTTCAAAATTTTTCATCCATTTCTCTCTCCACGTGTTAGAAAAGTTTTCCATCATCAACTTCATGTGCAGTTCTTGACAGATGAAGTTCTAGAGAAGAGTAAGTTTAAACACTGTGCTGCGAGGTAGGCATCCAACCCAACCTGATGAAGGCACTGAACCAAACCCAGGTTTTCTTCTACATGCACATATGCTTAAGCTGCTGGGCAGGCATAGCTGTCTATACTATAAAGCCAGTTGCTCCTGTTCAATGGTATGAGTGAGGCACTTAAATGTGAGCCAGGTTCTTTGGGATATCATGGTGCTTAAATATCACATGGATATTTAATCAGACCTTCAGGCAGATACTTAAACTTGGGAGAGGAGACAGAATCCAGAGAGATCTTTTTCTTTGAGTGGTTTCCAGTTAGTTGATTTGCATGTTTTCCTTCACTTAACTGGAACAGTCACCCAGGAGGCTCACAGTATAGGGGTTTTGGTGCTTAGATTGGATTTGTGAATTCCATTCCTAGAGCCGGACACCTAAAAATTCCTCAGGACAACAGTAATTTAGTCACTGTGACCACACCCTTTTTGTGGAACTCAGAGTCTTCAATGTTAGTATTTCTTTTAGCATTTCCATAGACACCATGGAAAACATCAGCCAGACAACTGAGAGTGTCTTCAATAAACATTACGAGAATGAAGCAGTGTGATTTCATTCCTAAATTTTTTCTAAGGTGCCTTGACCCCTTGTTTCATTCTCCCCTGTAAATTCCCAGGGAAGGAGAATGGGTTTGTGATTGGACCCGCAGACAAAACACATTTTATCAAAACAGAAAGTGAATTCTAAAATTCAGTAACTTTCGGTCCCCTAGTTATTGGAAATGGGGATTCTGTGGCCTCTATGCTGATGGCACTGGAACACACAGAATTAGTCTCTTTCTTCCAGGTACTCTTATTCCAAGCCAGCTGTATTGTTTCTGTTCAAAAAAAACCACAAACAGACGGACAGAAGAAGACATAAGTCCAGCAATTGAACTCTCTATAGAGAAAATACAAGCAGCAGAGCAAACTGCAGAACGTTCACAAAATCTTCATCGCTTCAGGACTTAAATCACTGTTTCATAAGGGAATTATTTTCTCTTGCACTGTATTAGTTTTATAAATTGATTTAAAGCATACATAAAGGCGTTTTGCAATAGTCTAATCTCAAGGTTACAAAAGCATAGATCACTGTGACAAAGTCTGCATAAATAGTACCAGGCCTTTGGCCAGGGGTAGGTGGGAAGAAGTGACATCATCATAATTGCACAGATCAACAACAGTATGAAGTTCCCACTGACTGGAAAAGGGGAAACAATCCCAATTTTTAAAAAGGGAAAAAAGGAAGACTGTGGGAGCTGCAGGCCAGTCAGTCTCACCTCTGTGCCTGGCAAGAGCATGGAGCAGATCCTCCTGGAAACTATGCTAGGGCACGTGGAAAATGAGGTGATTGGTGACAGCCAGCATGGCTTCACTAAGGGTAAATTGTGCCTGACAAATTTGGTGGCCTCCTACAATGGGGTTACAGCATTGGTGGATAAGGGAGAGCAGTGGATGTCATCTACCTGGAGTTGTGTAAAGCATTTGACACTGTCCTGTATGACATCCTTGTCTCTAAATTGGAGAGACATGGAGTTGACGGATGGACAACTTGGTGGATAAGGAATTGGCTGGATGGTCGCACTCAGAGAGTTGCGGTCAACATGTCAATGTCCGAGTGGAGACCAGTGACAAGTGGCATTCCTCAGAGGTCGGTATTGGGACTGGCGCTGTTTAATATCTTTGGCGACACGGACAGTGGGATCGAGTGCACCCTCAGCCAGTTTGCCGACAACACCAAGCTATGTGGTGCGGTTGACATGCTGGAGGGAAGGGATGCCATCCAGAGGGACCTTGACAGGCTTGATAGGTGGGCCTGTGCAAACCTCATGGAGTTGAACAAGGCCAAGTGCAAGGTCCTGCACAAGGGTTGGGACAATCCCAAACACAGATACAGGCTGGGCGGAGAATGGATTGAGAGCAGCGCTGAGAAGGACTTGGGGGTGTTGGTTGATGAGAAGCTCAACATGACACAGCAATGTGCATTTGCAGCCCAGAAAGCTAACCATATCCTGGGCTGCATCAAAAGAAGCATGGCTAGCAGGTCGAGGGAGGTGATTCTCCCCCTCTACTCTGCTCTCATGAGACCCCACCTGGAGTACTGCAGTCAGCTCTGGGGCCTCCAGCATAACAAGGACATGGACCTGTTGGAGCATCTCCAGAGGAGGGCCACAAAGCTGATCAGAGGGCTGGAGTACTTCTCCTATGAAGAGAGGCTGAAAGAGTTCGTGGTGTTCAGCCTGGAGAAGAGAAGGCTCCGGGGACATCTTAGAGCAGCCTTCCAGTACCTAAAGGGGGCCTACAGGGGAAGCTGGAGAGACAATTTTTACAAGGGCATGTAGTGATTGGACAAGGGGTAATGACTTTAAACTGGAAGAGGGTAGATTTAGATGAGATGTAAAGAAGAAGTTCTTTGAGGGTAGTGAGACACTGGAACAGGTTGCCCAGAGAAGTTGCAGATGCCCCATCCCTGGAAGTGTTCAAGGCCAGGTTGGATGGGGCTTTGAGCAACCTGGTCTGGTGGAAGGTGTCCCTGCCCATGGCAGGGGGGTTGGAACTAGATGATCTTTAAGGTCCCTTCCAACCCAAACCATTCTATGATATGATTCTATTTTCAGTTGGTAAACTGCGAGCCTATCTCTTCAGGCATGAATAATATTCTTAGACTAAGATTAGCCCTTGGTGAGGCTCTTATGCCAGAGATCCATCTGGTCAACTAGAAGAGGCTTCTTCCTTAAAGAAGTGATTCAGAATAGGAGCTTAACTTTAGAAAGCCTGAACTGGCCCCTGAAGGGACCAGCTTCTCCACTTTGGCTGTTAAGAGAGCATGGAGATTACAGCTTTCCTAGGTTAAATCTCTTAATTTATAGCAGTTCTTCGGTCTTATGTCAAGATTTCTACACCTGTTTTTCAGCATAGACTTCTGTTCTTTCAACTAAGCACTAGTTAGATGAACTAGCTTGAAAAGAAGACTGTTCTGTAAAAGGAGAGCACAGGCTTACATCTGAGGAAATAAAACAACCCAGCTTTTTCAACAGTGTCTTCTGGTTCTGAAAGGTGGGATGCTTTTGGCCCACCCAGTGCTGCCACAGCAAGGAGAAAGACAGTGTTGGTATAATGTGAGACTAAACTGGTAGCAAAAAGGTACTCTGCTTAGCCCTTTTGCTGGTCCCCTTTGCATGTTTCTTCTATTGCAGCAGTGGCCCTTCTCAAATGTTCCCCATATGTATTCAGCAGGGATTAAACTGCCCCTCTTCTGGTGCAGCATAAAATCCTTTAGAATATTTATATTTCATTCCTGTTTGGTGTAATGCCATCATGTTTTCCTAAGACATGCAAGTGGTGAAACAAGACATTGGGTTTAGAATTCATCATGAGTTTCAAGGGAACGTGTTTGAAGGCTTGTAAAGAAAAGTGTTGGACAAGCTGATAAAGTTGTCCATATTAATTCCTCCTGTAATAGCATTTTCTGTGTGAACAGGATTAAGCCTTGTTCAACGTTTAAGACCAGATTTCAAGCGAAAATATTCATCAATGTTTGATGATAACACTGTGGCTGAATATATCTACCACTGCAATGTACAGTCCCCCAGGTGAGTATGAGTTTCCCGGTGTATGTTTTGAATTCTGTCTTTCATTTACTGAGTGCCTGTGGCAACAGTATGTGTGCTTTTTTTTAAAATTGTAACATTTATTGTATTAATTGAAGAAAAAAATAGCATTGCACTTTTTCTGAATTCCAGAAACTGAAAAATGTAAAAGCTATTCTAATTCAATATTTCTTCTAACCTACCTGTGTGTGTTGATTCTGAGAGTTTGGGCACTAATTTTTAATTAAAAAATTGTTACAGTGGTTTAATTTGGAACAAATTTCTTAGAATGATATGCTTTACTTTTAAAGTTTTTTAAGTGTGTCATGGTTTAACCCCAGCCAGCAACTAAACACCACGCAGCTGCTCGCTCACTTCCCCCCCCCACCCAGTGGAATGGGGGAGAGAATTAGGGGGAAAAAAAAAGTAAAACTCATGGGCTGAGGTAAAGACAGTTTAATAGGACAGAAAGGAAGAAAATGAAAATAATTATGATAATGATAATAATATGACAATAATAATAAAAATAAAAGAATTGGAATATACAAAACAAGTGATGCACAATGCAATTGCTCACCACATGCCAACCGATGCCCAGTTAGTTCCTGAGCAGCGATCTGCCCCCACCTCCCCAGGCCAACTCCCCCCAGCTTATATACTGGGCATGACGTCACATGGTATGGAATATCCCTGTGGCCAGTTTGGGTCAGCTGCCCTGGCTGTGTCCCCTCCCAACTTCTTGTGCCCCTCCAGCCTTCTCACTGGCTGGGCATGAGAAGCTGAAAAATCCTTGACTTAGTATAAAGAATACTTAGCAACAACTGAAAACATCAGTGTGTTATCAACATTATTCTCATACTAAATCCAAAACATAACACTATGCTAGCTACTAAAAAGAAAACTAACTCTATCCCAGCTGAAACCAGGACAAAGTGTTATCACTCAGTACTGTAAAAACATAGGTTCTATTGAAAATTACATGCAAATCTTGAAAACTTAGGTTTCTTAATAGTAAAAAATCCCAGCCTTATGTACTATTGCACTCTGTGTTACCAAAAGGCACAGATACTCCAGTTTAGAGAAAAGGCAGATCCAATGGAAATTTAATTGTTTTTACCCTTTTGAATGACTTGAAGTGGTGAAACAGCTTTCAAGAACATGACTATTCCTTACGGATGGGCAAAAAGGCCGATGCTGCAGCGGATTCCTCAAATGGATCGAGACATTCCTATCACTGTGGTCTATGGAGCACGTTCATGTATAGATGGCAATTCTGGCAGCACTATCCAGTCTCTGAGACCAAATTCATATGTGAAGACAATAGTAAGTTAACTTTTAAAGCAAACTTGTTTGTTTATTGTGTGTATTTGTTTAAACCATATCTATGTTTTTTATACCAACTGTGGAATGCTGGCCCTTTGATTTAAAGCCTGGGGTAATAACTTCTGATTTCTGTAACAGAGAGAGAGAAAACAAGCGTTAGATCAGAGAAAATGTAGACAAAAGAGTATTGAGTTCCCAGACTAAGAAGGAAACTTACTGTAGCACTAGAAACTCAATTAGATCTTTGGCCAAGGTCGTTCTTCTGCTCTACAAAATACTTTGCTCTACAATGTGCTAGTACAAGTAGTTTTTGTGGTCACTGGTAAGTATCTGTGGTTTTGTCTGTGTTTTAAACCACAGCAGTCCTAATATCTGCATATATGTATGACATAGTGAGGAGGGTCTCATAAGCTGTCCTAATCTGTCTGTATAATGCTTTCATTTCTTTGATAAGAGAGTAGTTTGTACCTGGTGCTTAGGTTCTTGTAAGAGTCTTTAAATCATTAAAAAAATACTTAGTGTTGTCTTCCTAGCCAATACATTCTTGTTTAGAAGGTATGGCATTACCATTTAAAAATGTGTGTACTTGCAACTTGATGTGAATGTGCACACTGCATTTTTTGTTGATTTCTATAAAAACAAATTAATTTAAAAGTATTCTTCACGCATTGTCAAATCAGCCAGCTGTGATAATTGAATATGCATATATGTTTCAATGCTATGAGGTGGTAAAATGTTTGAATACACCAGCCGTCTTCTTACTGATGTCTAGATCTATCTGGACAGAAGTGTACAGTATGTGATGTTGATAGTATACTACAAGTCATTCAAATAAAATTTTATAATCTTGATGTAGCTGACATCAGAGCTGGAACTCAGAGAAAAAACATTGTTATTGAACTGTTTGCATGTGTTAAAGAGCAAAAATACACTTCATAAATGTTGACATCCAGACTGAAAGTGTCACTTCACTGCTTAACCAGAGAGAAAGTTGTAACAAAAAGTCACTGTTAAGAAGTGTACAATATATTGGTAGGATAAGCATATACCATTCAGGCAGATTTTTCCAGTCTGGTCAATGGCTTTTAGAAGAGACTGTGGAGAACTCTATTGTATTCCAGGTTAAAATTTTGTCAAGCCAAGTACAGATTTTAAAAGGTAAATTGGAGTGGTAGAAATTATAGGGACTTTCAAAAAACAGTAGGAGGGAAAGGGTTCTCATGAGGCTGAGGCTGAGACATGGACTGGCAGTGCCATCCTTGGTAAAATGCACAGAGGTTCTGGGGTTTTATTATGTGTGCTTATTTCTAATTAATTTTTACTTTGTGGGGGATTTTAACACAATAACATAGCTATACGTTTTAGGGGCTTCATTTAGAGACTTAAGAGGCAGTGTTTTAATGGAGGGAGGGGAAAATAGATTTAAATAAATATTAATCTCAGACTGATTATAAAATGGAAAGAAAATAGGTCAAGTACCTTTGCTGTACACTACGCTGATGGCTTGCTTCCTACCAGTTTTGGCAGAGAATGATAAATTATAGAAATAGGGTAACCACCCTGTGTGTGGTTACTTAAGCCCTTAATTTTGTTACATAGTTGCTGTGAAATAATTTAGGTCACAGGCTGGGGTTTTCCTCCCCATATTGCATAATTTGGATTTTACTTGTCCCTGCTTAACATAGTAGTCGTTAATTTGGAGGGTTGAAATCTGCTTCCACAAGTCTAGAAAATCCCCAGCAATTTAAGCTTCTGAGTTCTTAATCATTTATCCTAGTACCTTCTTTAGTCTCTTCCATATCATTTTAATAATGAGAGAATACAAATGATTTGATGCTGTCTCTAATGCAAATACTTATGGAACTGAAGAGCAACCTTGCAGAACTATTTGAGTGGAGAATGAAGGGGATGAAGATGAATCAGAAGTTTGCTATGTAAAGCACGTTCTCCTAAGTTCGTTTTGCAGTGACTTGTGTCTGCTTGAATGGCGTTTTTTTTCAACAAGATGCGCAGTTGAATAACCAGTAGTTTTACCCTCTTTTCCTCTGTAGCAAAGTTCCTTCAACAGCTGAAACCGCTTTCGTTTTTCCTTATGTTTACAGTCCTTTTTAGGCTGTATGATACCACCTCCTGGCAGCAGTTGTGCTAACTGCATTAACACAGGCTGGGTGCAAGACATCAGTTCAGTTTTGACATTTGTCTTTTCAAGTAATAGCATATCAAGTAGGTAATGTGTAAAAGTCAGGTTCTTGACATATCCCAGTATTTATTTATTTGCTTACTACATTCTTGTGATTTTGACCTCTTTCTTCACCTTTATCCTCTAGGCTATCCTTGGTGCAGGTCATTATGTGTATGCTGATCAACCTGAAGACTTCAATCAGAAAGTGAAAGATATCTGTGATTCTGTGGACTGACTGTCTTCTGTTCTTTAGAAAGTCATACTGTAGATAGCATTAATAGCAATACTCTCTAGGAAATCACTAAAGAATGCAGAGCTGATGAAACAGGCTCTGTTTGTACACTGTTTCTTCTAAGAAGCCATTTGCACACTTAAACCACTTAGTGCCTTTTTGGGGGGGTATAGGGAGATTTGAAGCAAACTTTGTACACCTTTGTTTTAGATTGGCCTTTAGATTATTGGCCTGTCATATATGAAATTATATATAAACTTTTAAACTGGAATTTTCTTCAAAATGTAATTGAATTTTGCACATGTTGAACTTATAAAGTTGCTGAATTCTCCACTAACAGAACTGTATCGATATAGATACAATGCAATTTGGTTTCTTTATAATCATTCATGTTTTTCAGTTGAAGTTTCATAGCAAGAATATGAAATTGCCTTTACATTTTATTTTTGGAATCCAGAACTCCATATACAATATTTTAACAGGGTGTATTTTATTTTTTTTTAATTGGAGTGATAACAGCTTATGAAGCTGATTCTGGGAGAGAGACAGGGCCGAATAATGAGCAGTGTCTGTCACTGAAATACGTGTGTTAGTTTGTAAGGAATTGGGGCTCAATATTAGGAAATCTTTCTTCAGTTGGATTTTATTTCCATTTATCTCAAGGCATCTTTCTCCATCTGTGCAACTGTTACGGAAGGCTCAGTTTGTAAGAGTCAATGATGTCACCAGCACTCATGCTTCTGTAAGTATTTTGATATGTAGATTTCAGTGATTTAAAATGCAGAAGATGGCATGTTAGTTACTCCATCTATTTTAACACTTTACTGCAAAATTTGTTACTAGCCTAAAACTAACAATTGTAGATAAGTTGACAAGATTTTGATGAGGGCTAAGGAATGACCATCTGGATAGTGAGCATAATTCCCTTTTTCTTTAGGTAGAAAAACTAGTCTGCTTTTTAGTAAGTTCAGGGCAGAAGAGAGGCAGAGGGAGAATATTGATGTTCTCTAATTGGGAACTACAACAGGTTAGTGTATTTTAGTTAACATTGCAGCCTCCTTATAGGATGGATTATTACTGGAATGAACAATACCACTGTAACAAATTGTAATTACATGTTTTGGAGATTCTTTATATAATTATGTATTTTAATCGAGTATTTCAATATCAGAGATAATCCAGTCTCTGCATCTTTTTGAAATTGTAGTTTGACATTAGTTCTTCACATGTTTAGTAAATTATATTAAGCAAAATACTTTGTCACTTTAAAGCCAAATTATGTGGTGGTTTGTTTTTTAACAAGTTTACATAAAACTATTGATCTGCTTTTGAATATTAAATTGACTACTGAAGAGTTCTTGATACATTTATACATAGAGAATTTGAATTAGTGATAGCACCATCTTAAATCTTGAGTGGAATTCTGTGCATTTTTTTCTCAAATTAAGGAATTGTTGCACATGTTTATGATGTGGAAGGCAAAGATAACTAAAACATTCAGGAAATGCTCTGATTGTGTTCCTAGCCAAACATAATCTCCCTGTTTCTGAAGGAGATATTTGTCTATATCATGCTATGTAAACATCAGTCTTTTGTGACTGCCTTGACTGGTAGTACTTAATACTAATAAGCTAAAGATTTTAATTAAAATTTTGTATTAAATTACTTTTTCAATTAGCAGATGCCAGAATTTTTAAACAAAATTTGGGTTATTTGCTAAAATCTTGAGTTCAAAATGGAAAATCAGAATATCAATTGTATTTTTGAATATAAGCTGTAAATTATTGTCATACCACCATTTGGGTGGATGCCTTCAGTATGTATTTTTTCACCCTTTTCAGTGTCTTAATTTGTATTTATCAACTTAAACAGCTGTCTTAATTGTGCATAAAAATCTAATGCAAAAATATATTCTGAGTCTCCTCCAAATTACAAAAGGTGAAACAAACTTGGTATTTTCAGACTGCACTTACTGATGGGAATTCTAGATTCCACATCAAAAGATGGAAGTAGGGATAAAAACTGCACACTGAATATGAATATTGTGTTAAATATCCCTTGCTTTTTCAGCTTATTGTACTAATAAGACTTATTGCTTAAGTTTTGCACAATAAAAATATCTTAAATGTTATCTTTGATTAATGTTAAGACATGATGTTGCTTTTGTAAAAATTGTCTGTAATTAAGCCCTGGAAATCAAGAGTAATTAATAAGTTGAGCTAAACCATCCAAAATACATTAAAAATATGGTAATGCTTATTTTCAAATTTCTCAATGTTCTTAGATTTTCTTGTATTTAACTGAAACTGGTAAGGATTTGTCAATAAGTAGCTGCAAGCTTAGAATCCTGATTGTATATACAAAGAAAAAATGTTTGTTGGTTATCTTCTAGGCAGTATTAGATACTGCTGTGAAGGTCAAGATGGAATTCTGAATATCCTCTTGTGTGCAACATAACCCAATAAAGTTACTTTAATAAACTTCATAAGTGGTGCTGAACAGAAAATGAATGGCACATACTGAAAGACTTGGGAGCTAGACCTTTTGTGAGCAGTTGCTGTCTAGGAATAAACTCGGTTTCTCCAGAAGTTCTGTTTCAGTTGCTTAAATGTACTGTGGCGAGCACTGAACACTGATGGTGCTATTTTTATTACAGCGCTATAAAATAAGACAAGAATCACAGGCATAAAGGCACCCAAAGATCTCTCCCATTCTAGCATCAAAATGAAGACAGCTGTGTACCAGAGGCTAGGGCATAACAAAAAGAATCCGAAATATTAATAAAAATCCAAGATTAACTGTCTAAGTCTCCAGGACACGCTCTTCTTCCTGAGGTTGTTGAGATAAAATTTTATTAAAGTAACTTAGTAATATTTTGTTTGCATGGCTGACTTCATCTTGTTACTTATTGAACCCTGCCAGATTAGATTTTAGTTCTGAAAAGTTGATTTTCAGAGAAGTAATTTATTGATAAGACTCTATAATAAAACTTTCACAACCATCACAAGAAAGTCCCTGTTTGTATCTGATTGTGAAATGGAAATGGAGAATGTGAATTCATAGGCATTGAGCGTGGAAAAATGGGTCCAAACAGGAGAAGTGCCATCATCTGGTTTCACTCGAATTAAACCAATGCTGGCATTTCTTTTTAAACCTTATCTTTTTAAGGTTGCTGCAACTGTTCATGCTGAACTGATGTGACAGTCTGTGAAACGCTCTCTGTGGTCCGTTGTGGTTCCTCAAATGCCCAGCCCTTCCAGATCACAGTTATTCAGCTTTTTGACTGCAAGTAAGACAAGGTTAAATACAGTAAAACCATCTAGAAACAATGTATGGGCAGACATGTTCAGGATTGCCTATTTTGCTAGCATTCATTAAAATGTGAGCCTCCAGAAGCCTAAGGCTAATAGTCAACTGCTGTTTAAATGGGTGATTTCTTGGGGCTCCTCCCCGTATCTCATTTGGTTGGGTTCTTTTACATTGGCCAGTTCACCATCAGCCCATCCTGCGATGTTTAAGCATGGCAGCGCACCCACATTGCCAGAAGCCTTCATCTGGGGATTTACGTTGTAGGAAGTGAAACTTGTCAAAGGGTGAGTCACTAAAGGTAACTGCAGAGAGGTACGTTTTAGTGGGACTAGTAAGATCAGAACAGGACACAGGTGTGCGCAGCAACTGCTTTCTGGTATTAGTGGCAGTAGATGGAAATGGATGGAGGCTTCAGGTTTTCAGGCAGGTGGTGGATGGACCAGTGCATAGAGCAGAGGCATATAACTGGAATGACAGCATACACCACAAGGAACAGTAAGAGCTAGAAAGGAATGAGGCAGCTGAAAACAGCAAAATTCAGCAGAAGAGCAGACGGGTGTGAACATTTGCTTCAAGAGCCGGTTCAGCTCTGGGTGAGGATAAGGGAGGTGGTGAGGGAAAGGTTTGGGGTGCCAAGGGCATAGAGTGAGCGAGGACTGGCAAATAAGGAGAGAGAAGAACTTGGCTGACATGCCTGGGGTAGGTGTGAACTTCTGGGCTAGCGCAGAAGGTAGCCTGCTGCCAAAGGAGCGCCTGCAAGGAGACAACAAAGCCCCAGGCCGCCAGCATCTGTAATCCAGTTAAGTGCTAAACTGAAGTATCGTCTTGTATAATTAATTCCTCATTGCCTCCCTGAAACACTGAATAGTTGTCTGAACAACAGCTTTCCTTCTGGGTGCTGGAACTAGACAGCAAGCTAACATTTCCATCCGCGAGCTCCCTTCTTTTCAGTTCTTATTTGGGCTAGCTAAGGCTGCCGTGTAATAACATGGCTTACTGAGGTAAGGAGGATGCCTGCAGCACCAGCTAGAGGGAAGTCTGGCTGGAGAGCTTGAATCTACACTACGTGGGGCACTGTAAAGTTTTTGTATCCCTACTTTGACTAAAGCTTGTCCTCTGAATGCAAGTGCTATTTCACAAGCTGGACACCGTTGCCTCAGACTGGTACTCGTATGGGAAACATTTAAAGAACAGCTGTCTCCTGCAGTGCTCAAGAAATCATGAGAAACGGTATTCTCGCAAGTCAAAAATGAGCTGATGACAAAGCATGAGGTAAGGGGGATGCTGGAAGTGTCCTAAGGGTGTGCCTGAGGTAAGATGAAAAATCAAGATGTACAACAAGACTTGTCTCTAAAGATCATAAATCTGTCTTTTACAAGAGGAGTAGAGGGCCTTCACTCTATTACAGTTTGCCTCGTTGCATTTTGATCACAGGAATATCCTACCTTAAGATTTGGACGTGGTCAGTAGAATGTAGAAATACAAAATATGGAAATATTTGTCACATATATTTTAAAAATAAGAAACACAAGTGGCAAGAACGTACTGCACCGAAATTCAGACATTTTAGGATATGTATGTAATTTGCAATAGTAATTAGCAGCAAGATGAAAGTGGTGACAACTAAAAGTTAGGTGTTTACTTGTATTTCATGCTTTACTTCTAGAGGAACGCTAGCAAGCTGAAACAGCTTGTTTTAGAAAGCTGTGCAAGAGCTGTGAGGTGGAGTGTGACCCCCAGATGTACACTAAGTAGATGTGCTTTGAACTACTGCAAAAGCAGAATCTCCATATATTTACAGGTCTATTTCTGCACTCTTGAATTCACCTACTTGATGTGTAAATGACTGGAGCTGTATGTGGAGCAAGGTGAGGCTATCGCTTCCTTTGTAGCTTCGTGATATTTAAATGCTTGCCTGATATCCAGCAGCCTTTCTGCTTTGACTTTTTTAAAGACATTTGCATTCACTCAGAGCTCAAACCTAAAATGGAGGCTAAACAGCTCAGTGGATGCAAATCCCCCAGCTAGAGCACCCCTCTGAAAGGAGGATTATTGCTCACGTTTACCCAAGGTTCATGTTCTCCTCTGCGCCTGCCGGGAGCGAGACTGATCTCCCTCAGCTCGTCCCGCTGGATGCCGAGCCCCTGTGTTTGACCACGTGCCGGTGGCCTGTTCTGCCTCGTGAGTGCCCCCGGTAGATGCTTTGATAAATACAGGGTTAAGGAAAATAACCATTCTGCAAGCACTCTGCTTAGCGGAGGGGTGTGGGTAGAAGGAAGACTCTAGTAGTGGGATCATGCTGGGGAGAAGGACCAGCACATGATGATTCCCGAGAGCGGTGGGATGGTGACCCTGATCCAGCCATTGGCTCTGGCTTGTTTCCAAGTTTGCAGGGACTGAGCACTGTGCCACTGTCACCTTCGCTGGCTGCATGCCCCCTACTCGCAATTTAATTCCCTGCCTCCAGCTCCCTTAGCAGCAGGATGAAACCTTTGAGCCTCCTGAGCATCTTAAACTCCGTCCAAGCACTCCAGTGGCAGCTAGCCTGCTCGCAGCTGAAGCCTTCAGGAATATGCAGCTGTTTCTACAAAGAAACTTTGCAGGGTAGTCGTGGGCGCAGGTAAGGTGCAGCGAAAGCTGAGGAGAGAACCTGCTGGCAGCTCATCCCCCCGCACTGGCTCCTGCCCAGCTTTCAGCCTCTCTCCGTGCCCTGCGAGAGGGCCGGCATGCGGCAAGTCCCCTGGTCAGGAACACCTCTCCCCGGCCACAAATCCTCACGCTTTCCTTCATGGAGATCTCCCGAGCATCGGCCCCCGTGCCAGTGGGTAACTGTGTTCTGCGCAGGCAGGATCAGGCCGTGCTGGGACTTTGTGCGTGACCCTGAAGCAGCTTCCAGGCTGTGTGGCTCTTGCCATGGTTCCTGCCAGCAAATGCCCGAGTCAGTGCCTACTGTGAGTTAGGCTTATGCCTTGTTCATAGAAAACAAGAATTCAGGTGTGCTACAGAGGCGGTTGTCACCAAAAGGTTGCATAAACTTTTTTTTTTTTAAATACTGGCAGATTTCAGCACTAGTTTGAGGGACAACAACTACTAACCACACAGCAGTGCTTGCCTATTGTAGAATGGCTATAGATTTGTTTTTAAAGGGGATCTGAAAATAGTTTTTACTAAAACACTGAAGTGTTAGTGAGAAGCTGCATTTATTGTTTTCCCAGAGATAATCCGGAAACAGATGAAAATCCAGCCAGGGGAATGAATCCGATCTCTCATCAAGTCACATATTTAATTAATAGGCAGATGATTCCCCTGGCTCCTTCAGTGCAAGCCAGCTCCCAGCTGGGGCTGTGCCTCCCTGCTACCCCAGTATCTTCTCCACACCTGCACTGTTGGCTGCACAGGGGGACGGCAGGAGCAGGGAGGGATGGGGAGGCTCTTGCCTCCTTTCCTCCATCGGTTCTGTGCAGATCCCGCCAGAGCAGGGACGGCACTCCCAAACTGCCCCAGCACCTCCTCCGGGCTCCGGCTTCTGCATGGTGCTGCCTTGAAGGAAAGAGCTGTGCTGCAATTTCTTCTTCCCATGCACAATAGATGGATTGCTATAGGTATTGGCAGGGGTGAAACAGGAATTTCATTTATTTGATTCACCCCTTTCGTACAGGAGAGGGAGGGTCATGGAAGGGGTGAGTGCAGCGTGGTCCCATTAATGATTAACGTAGACCTCTGTAGTACTACATCATTGGTTTATTTATCCTAATGTCTTTTCACAAAGCAGAAATGAATCCCATGCAGAAAGACTAGACATTGGAAAGAGGAGGGGGAGCACAAATGAACCTCCTCTCTTATTACAGACCGGCCCCAGAATGAGAATAAATGGTGATAAGAGGAAAAATAACTGCGACAGAATTATTAAATAAGGGGCAACTTTTAAAGTGGCTCCAGTCTGGCTTCTAATTTTGTTCCTGTAATTTGATTGTGGGTTTAAATGGGACTGCTTAGACATTAGCTACTTGATCTGCAAGCAGCAGCAGGTAAGCAGTGCAGAAGTATGCGCGGGGGCACGGCCACGAGCACGCGCTGCCAGGGCTGCGTGGGTGCTGGGGGAGGGCTGCTGCCGCCTCCTCTCCTCAGGGAGAAGCTCCCTTTGGTTCAGTGAGTCTGTCACGGGCAGGTGTCGAGACCCCCAGAGATGGGGAGACGGTGGGGGCTGCGTGGGGCGCAGGGTATGGGTGAGGCGGCTGGGACCCCCCAGCCTGTGGCAGCCTCCCCTCTCGATACACCCTGCTCTCTCCGGGAGATGCAGGAGCCCGTCGCTGGCCGTGCCCTAGGAAAAGCGGTTCCAGCTTTACTGCTGCTTAGCTGCATCTCTGCAGAAAATTTTGCAGTAGGTCTGCATGTGTGCGTGCATGGGTGTGACAAAAAGGGAGCTCAAAGAAAACGGTGCTGTACAAAACAAGAGCAAAATCCATTATCGAGAGAATATTGACCCATTAGTAAAAAAAGAAAAAAAAGACATGGCTACAGAAACCTGTTCGGTGCTGTAACTGGTACCAGCACCTCAGGCCGAGAGCGAGGGCATCTCCAGCCTCGGTTGCAGCG